CGGTGGGCACGGCGATGGCTGGCAGAGACCCCACACGCCCGAATGCTGGCACCTGGCTCGCTTCGTAAGAGCTCCGTCGTCAGGAGGCCAGCGGCCAGGAGAGCAGTCTCCATCAGAAACGATGGAGAGCGGCCGCCTGCCAGACCGCGCCTCCTGAGGCCGCAGCCGCACAGCCTGGCCCGGGGGAGGGGGGCGGGGGGAGCACCTGGAGACAGATTCGGGTTTCTCCTTCCCCGTCCCCTAAGATGGCGGCATCTTTAATGAGCTCCACAGACACTCAGACGCACTCTCCAGGGAGGTCCTCCTGTGAAGCCAGAGCCCACAGCTCTTCAGGCAAAGAACAGACGAGGACGTGCAGGCCCGCACATTGGACACGGCGAATCCTCGCTCCAAACCCAAGTGTGGAAGGGAGGGGGAGAGGGCTGCCCCCCAAAACCCAGGACGCACTGGGGCCCACAGAGCTGTCCAAGGCAGGCTCGGCCCACAGGGACACCAGGTTGGAGAGCTCCTGACAGCATGTCAGAGCCCTCCTGCCACTCAGGACACCACCACAGCCTGCGGCCCCGGGCGCTCTGCCTGAGCCGGGCTGAGCCGGGCTGAGCAGGGCTGAGCGAGGCGTGAGGACGAGGCACGTGAGGCGTGTGCGCTGAGCGTAGTGGAGATCCTGGCAGACGTGGGTGCGGAGACTAAACACAAGTGGCCGAGGTGGGGCTGGGCTGGGCGCTGCTGACCTGAGCAGGCCCAGCCTGACCCGGTGACCGCCGCCTGCCCTGCCCGGCCCCCCGCAGCCGTACCTTGGTCAGCAGCAGGACCCGCTTCTGCAGCCTGCGGGCCAGCGCCTCGTGCGTCTCGCGCTTCTTCCTCTCCTCCAGCAGCTGAGCGCTGACCTGGCGGACCTCCTCCTGCAGCTGCTGCCTGACCTTGTCCAGCTCCCGGACGCTGCACAGACAAGGAAAAGGGCGGAGGATGAGGCTGGGCCCAGGCAGCACCCCAGTCGCAGGCCCACCAGGCCCAGCCCGACGTCACTTGGTCTCAGAACAGAGCCGCACGTGCAGCCGCTGGCATTTCCTCCCGAACAGCTCCTCGGAGCCTCTCAGGACCGTCTGCTTCCCAGCGGACCCAGGGCGATCCCAGCAGGCGGGCGCCCCACACACAAGGGGGAAACCGAGGCCTGAAGGGGCTCCAGCTCAGAGCAGCGCTGCCTGCGTCACGCCAGGTGAGCGGCTCCGTGCTGCAGGGAATCGAGCCCCAGCCCCAGCCTGGCCCGGAGCAGCCAAACTCCAACCTCAGCTCTGACACCGACACGGGGCTCCACAGGTCCTCTCGGCCAGCTCAGGAGGCCGCTCCGCCGACCCCGGGCCCTGCCCTTCCTGTCACCTCTGCTCTTAGCATCCTGCCCTCTGTGCTCACAGCGCCCTCCCTGGGTCCATGGCCGGGCCTTCCCCTCAGACTCCAGATAAGGATGGACACGTGGCTCAGAGCCTCTCATGCTCCCAACCGCCCAGACTGACCTCAACCTCTGGGTGTGGGGGTGAAGTGCCTTCAGAGTCTGGTTTCGCACTCTTTCCCCAACGGCCACTGTCCTTCCCAGCCCCGCCCAGTGGCCTCTGCCCGGCCCTGCCCCAGCCCTGCCTCTGCCTCTGCCTCTGCCCGGCCCTGCCTCTGCCTGTGCCCCGGCCCCAGCCCTGCCTCTGCCCGGCCCTGCCTCTGCCCCGGCCCTGCCTCTGAGGGCTTCCGAGGGAGAGTCCATGACTAGGGAGAGCAGTGGGGGGCCCGGATGAGGGCGGTGCTGGGGGGCTGCCGCTGGGAGAGAGCAGGGCCAGGCTCAGCACAGGGCCGCACCGTGGGGCAGGTGCCCTCAGAGTGGCCCACAGGAGGGCACGGGCAGGGCAGACGGAGAAGGGCCATGTGGGAGAAAGGGTGCAAGAGACCACGAGAACTAAGACCAAGCGCAGGACCTGCAGACGCGGCGGCACTGGCCGGAGGGCTCACTGGCTATGTAAACTCCGCGGGACGCAGAGGCCAGCGTGTGGCCATGGGGGGGCGGGGTCCTGACCACACTGCAGAGGAGGACAGGGCGGCACACGCAGGGGCTGGCCTCCCCAAGAGCACAGTTCCCAGGAATCCAGTGCACAGTGCGCCAGGGGGCTTTCCAAACGCCCGCTGAAAGATGTCCCCCCTCGCCCCCCACTCCGGCAGCCGGCAGGAGAGGGGACCTGGCCTCGCAGAGCTCTCCGTGCTGCCGCCTCAGCCTTTCTTGTGAAGTAAAAAGAAAACTCATAAAACATTAAACCTCCAGCTCCAGCCTCACGTGACCCTGGGGTCGCTGGCATTTCGGTGACCTTTGGGAGTTCAAAATGAAGTGCTCAGTTCCTGGGGAGTTGGCGCCTTTATCGATCGTTCGCCCGCTGACCGCGTCTGAGCTGCGCACTGTGCCGGCCCCGGCGCCGCTTTCATGTCATCTTCTCAGACAACGTGCCGCCAAGTGCCCCCTTCCGGGGACGTGGAAGGACACGAACTCGCAGCAGCGGGAGGCATCCCATGGCCTTCCTCAGACACCGCAGGCCGCCCGCTCATGGCCCGCCCGTGGCCACAGCCTGCTGTCCCTGCTCTCCCTCCTCCCAGCTCCAGCCCGCCCCCGCAGTCCTGCTGTCCAGGGGGTGCCGGGACCATCACGCTCGCCCTGTGGTGTGGATGGCCCCAGGCCTGGCATCGCCCCGGCAGGACCTGCTGGGAGGACAGTGCCCTCCGGGGAGCCCAGCGCAGGCCACACACTAAGTCTTGCCCGCAGTCAACACAACACGGGCGTCCACATCCAGCAGCTACTGCCAGACCCCGAATGCAGAACAAGAGGGACTCTGGGCCGCGCAGGCCTCCTCGGCGACCCTGACAGGCTGTCCCGCAGGCACGGACCTCACACGGGGCCGCTTCCCACAAGCACCCACAGGATGGACCGGGGTCTCCGGCGGGCCGACACCAACACGCCTGCAGGTGCGTCCGTATGAATGAGGACCATAAAGCCTTATCCGCACATACGCAAACCCGGAGCATCTGAGGGCACAGCCCTCCTACCCCATCCCGCAGCCTCTCCTTCGGTCCCTCCAGCCAGGCCTCGGCCCCTGACTACCCCAGCCACACCCTGAGCACGAGGCACCTGGGAGGGTCTGGCAGTGTCCTGGGAAAGCCCTTGGCAGCAGGCACAGGCCGTCGGCAGCTGAGGTCTGGTCACGTCGTCAGATGCACTTCGCTGAGCACCCCCCTACCCCCCCGGGACTCAGGCGACGGCAGAAGCAGGAGCCGAGGTCACACTCGGGGCAGACGTGCCGTGCCACACGGGACACGTCACACACAGGAACCCGAGGAAGGGCCCTGCCCCCACCAGGACCCCATTCCCAACGAGGGAACAAACCTGTTGAGGGCAGGCGGCTAGGATGGCAACGCAGGCTCCGATTCAGACCAGAGCCCCGTCCACCCGAGGGCCGCCCCTCCCCATGGGCCTGGCTTGGCCAACACGGCGGGACAGGCCGAGGGTGCGGGGTGAGACCTCGGGCTCCGTCGTCTTGCCACAAGGCTGCTTGGGCACGTGTGGGGAGGAGGGAGACCAGAGGCAGGAGCGGGGCAGGTGGCCTGTGCTCCGGTCCTGCCCAGGCTGCCGGGAGCGGGAGCGGAGGCCAGGCCCACGTGGCCTGCAGCTGTCTTTATTTATACCATCTGACCCCGATCCTAAATGCCTCCAAGTGTCATTACACATTTCTCTGAAAGAATTAACATCTAAACACTGGAAACAAAAGCAGAGAATCAGCAAAGCAGAGGCTGAAATAATTACCAATCAAAGGAAGGCCCCAGGAGGAGGCTGACTGGCCTCCCCGCCCCGCTCGGAGGCGCTCCCTCCGAACTCCCTCCCGTGTGCGTGCCTCCCCAGAGCAGCGAGGCCACGGGAAGCATCCCGTCCGACCTTGAGACGTGAGAAGGAAAATGACCCTCTGCAATTTCAATTCCGCCCCAACCGCCATGAATCATCCCATCCAGCTGGTCAGTTCCCAGCCTGTCGTCGCCGGTCGGGGTGCCTCCAATCACAGAGGGGAGCCCGGGCGAGGCCTGGTCTGGGTGCCAGGCACACAGCAGCACGCGCTCCCGCCAGGCACAGAGGCCCAGGCACTAAGGACACGGCAGGGACCAGCGGGCCAGCCCAGTGAGCCCCTGCCCGTCCTGGCTGCAGCCCTGGGAGCCGGCCACCCCCGGGAATCAGGGCAGTTACGGAAGCAGCCCCGTGTTCCTGCGGCT